CCAATGACACCTGTGCAGCTACTACACATTCAATCTAATGTAAAGGAGAGCAGAACTTCCTCTGTAATTATTTCATGGACCACAACCTTAGATTAACACATGCATTTATTAAGTAACAAATAAGGGTGTGAGAAAGCTAACGTACATTTGGGTACAATGCAAAATTGTCTGTTTAGTTAGCCATTAGCTCAAAATAGTACCAGGAAGCACAGGTATGTAATAATTATTATTGCTGCAAATAGTGGTTGTTGTAAACGCTTTTGTTTTAATTCGCAATATGCCCAAAGTGTATGGCTTGATGATGTAAATGACAAAGTTTTGTTTCTGTGTGTGTTTCCATTTAAGCAAAGCTTTTAAATCCAGGTAACCTTATTGGGTACATTTTTGACGGCTCCACATGCTTTTTCGGGAGTGCAGTTTGTGTCTGTTGTTTTGTGGCTGCAAGTGCATATCATGGCATTTGGACCCCTTAACTAACTGTGGGAATAAATCAGGTAGTTAAACATGCAGCTATTACAATCTGTATCCAGGATTCAAGGGCAGGCACAAAAACTGCAGACATTTGGCCCAATTTTTTTTCTCAGACCCAAATTACACTTACAAACCAGACAAATGGGCCTCCCTACCACTTCTGAATATTTACCTCAATGACCGCAAACATATTTGACTAATTCACTTAAGTTTTGGTTTATTTGTTGAGGAGGTGGGGGATTTTGTGTTATTTTCTTGTTTGATCACATGATAAACTGGGGAATTCATTTTCCTCCCTAACTGCGTTTAGTCGTAGCTAATCAGTCCTGTTGCCATGTTTCTATGTTCCCTGTAGCTACAGCTGTCTTAACACTGTAGCAAGAATTAGCTAAAATTCCTAGCATTGTGGGGCCCCCCATTAACATCAGTGGCATTGCACTGGTGTAAACAAGAATAGATTTTAGCTCATTGGGCCTAATTCGCTCATGCAATGTTTAACACGAGACACCCGAGTGTATTTAATGCAGTTAGTTCAGATATACCTCCGTGTAAGCAAGAGGCGAATGAGACCCTTTGTTTTCAATGGAAGTTGCACATTTCACGTCAGAGGGGTTTTGGCCCATAAAAATTAGGGATTAAAAAAAGGCCATTCAGTCAAATGCAAGGGTATTTCCTACTCTGTATTCTCAGGTAATTTATCCAGCCCGTGTTTAATGAATCACACAGTGAGGAACTCATCAATTCCCTAAGAAGATTATTCTGGATGTAAAGTATGTGAGTAATTCCATTACTATCAAGCAAGGCACTTAAGCACATGCTTAACTTTAAACATGCTTAAGTGCCTTGTTGACTCAGTGCCTGAGCTAGCTTACTTTTCAGACATTTTTCCTGGTAGGGTTAATAGTCCTTTCCTCAGTTCAGTGCATTGGCTTCCCACAAGTAGTAGGTCCCAGATCCTCAAAAGGTATTTAGGTGCCTAATTGCCTCCTCCAATGACTACTAAGAGCCAAATTCTCTACTGGCACTACTCCAATGACTTCAGGGATTTGTGCTCTCGTTATTGCAAAGTAATGGCACTAAACACGCCAATGATACTAACGTTTTAAAAGGACTAATAGAAAAAAAAAGAATGTGGTGATTGAAAAAAGAATGGCTCATCTTTGTCTAAGAGTTTGCCTTAAACAGCTGTATTGCTGGTCTAGGCAGACATGTGAGTATGCTCCAAACTATTCACTATGGGACACATTTTTAAAGAAACTTCAGCCTCACTTCTAATTGTGCAGCCAGTGCAGGCAGAAATGATACCTATTAGGTAACCAGCTACCTGATTTTAGGGCACAGTCAGGTAGGTAGCAGTCAAAATGCTATAATTTGTGCATATATTGCAGGTGCAAAACATGAAAACCCAAAAGATGACAGAATTGCTTGAGAAGTTGCATTGGAATAGGACATGTCCATTGTTTCTGAGAGTGAGTTCATCCTTAAAGAAACACTCTAAATTGATTCTTTGTTCTTTGCCTCTTATGACCTGATACCCAGAGAACATCATATGGTTATGAGCAATATATTTAGTTTTTCACTGTAATAAAAGTTATAATGAAAGGTGATATGAGGGTGATTTTGTTCTATTGACTATACACTCAACTCAAAAAGCTACACACATAACTCTTCCCAGCTGTAGTCTTGGGCTATTAGTACGTGTGCAGCCTTTACGGCATTGTATCTGAGCTCATGTGCCTTTTGAAATGTGTTAATGCAATGCATTTATTCATTTTTCTCTTGTGTCAGGTGTCTTGTTTCATCTTTTCAATGCTCTAAAGTTAGCCATTTCAGAGCAGGGGGTCTGGATGATAAAGGGCAGTTCTCCTGGGCTGCCAACCCATTCATCTGCAACTTAGGTTATAACTGCTTTGGGTCAGGGATTCTGCCGTGCAGTGTTCTAGTGAAATCCTTCCAATGGGCTTACTAGCACCTCGCAGTCTAATCAATATTGAGTAGTTGCATCATCCCAGAAGCTTCCCTGCTTCCCTCTTGCTTGGTGGAGGAAGTAAGTGGCATCAGACCTTTTCCTGGTACAGTTCACACACCCATCCATGCTAGTTCAGCTGTGCTGCCTGGTACTTGGTGGGGAGGGAGTGCCAGAGCCTTGGCTCCACCCACTTCACATCTCTGCCCACCCATCACCACTCACCATGCCCTGGAGAAGGAGTGGCTCAGTGGTGGCTGCTCTTCCCCTGCATCCACACACAATACCAATAGCCTAGACAGTGCAGCAAAGTGGCTGACTATGCCGTAGGATTGTCTCCAGGATCATGACCTGTCCTAAATAATAAAGGTTAAAAAATAAGTAGATTGCGGGGGGAGCCTTTATTTTTTATTATTGTGATTTGTTGTTCCCTAGGTTTAAGTTATAATCAGCGATCATTTCTCAAAAACAATTTACTGAGCTTTCTGGTCGTAAACCATTTCTGCAAAGAAGCTCATCATTCACTTCCCTTAATATACAGAATGCTGATGCAGATGCAGGACAAACCGATTAAACTACCTTACCTAGATGGTGGTAAGAAGAAAGTGCAGGATTGGGCTTTAATAAGAGCACGATCAAGCTCAGTGGACAAAATCCTAAGTCCTTATTCAGGCAAAACTGAAGTTCATTGACGTCAATGGGAGTTTTGCCCAAGTAAGGGTTGAGTAAGAAGGTTACGTGCTGGCCCTCTATTTCCAGCACACTGTGAAATATAATGCAGTGCACAGTAATCAGTTCCAGAAAGATCTGGAATGTACAATGGATGGTAGGAATAACACAAGGAAACTGCAATGGCCCAGGATTCTCCACTGGCTGGCACATTATGGAGTCACTTACGCCTGTGCAAAGTGGCACTAAAACTTTGTCAGAGCAAAACAATAGCGTTTAACACCCACTTTCATCATCAATCATCCTATCCAATCCTAAAGGGCCATACCCTCCTGGAGCACCACCTGGCTCAGTCTCTAGGTTGGGCCTCAATTTATGGCCATCATTGGCTATCGTAGTAACACCCAATTTGCCCAGATGCAAATGAGGCCCAGAGGAGAATCAGCTCTACTATGTTTTATACAAAAAGGCAGAGTCATGGGCAATTTGTAGAGACATGTCCAAGCCACAAAGTTAAATCTAAATAATCCTGAGATATGAGGGCATGTGTGGGTGGGATTTAGAATTTTGGTTGGGCCTATTATATAAATAAGATTCTGAATTTTCCAAACATTGGGAAAGATTAGATTTCGGGTTTTGGTTTTGTCCTTTCTCTAGTTTGAATAGGAAATAAGTGCTTTGAAATCTTGCAATTAACTAAATCAGAATCCCACTCCATCAGGCAGTGCATGCTTCAACTCAGTGGGAGTTGTGCGTGATAGAACAATGCAAGATTGGACATCGTCCAACTGGAGTTTTGTGCGTGCTAAGATTGCAGGACTAGCTTGGGGCTCAGCTGTGGGACTGAGTCACAGCTCTGCTGGGGTGAAAGTAACATTAAGCACTTACTGGTACTGGGGCCTGGCTCCGGGTCCCAGGAAGGGGTAGGGTCTCGGGCGGAAGGGTCAGGGCTGTGGGTCAGCCTCCCCCAGCCAGCCCATCTGCACTGCCTGGCCTCTGCCATCCGGGGCTTCGGCGGCGATTTAAAAGGCCCGGGGCTCCAGCCGCTGCTGCGGTAGCAGCAGCAGCAGTCAGGGACCCCAGGCCCTTTTAAATCACTGGCCCTGTGGCAGATGCCCCTTTTGACCCCTCCCCATCAGCAGCGGTCCTGCCGGAGGGTCCCTACTGGCAGGGCCACCGACGGGAGGGGGGGGGGAGCAAAAGGGGCAACGACGTTAAAGCGCTGCCGCAGTAGCGCTTTAACGTCGTCTGCGTACAGGCCGGTACCGGTGGCCGCTTCTTACTGGTACACCGTACCAGTCTACTTTCACCTATGCTACTTCCGCTTTACACCACCGGAACTCCACTCAGGGCTGATGGAGGGGAAGAGGGACAATTGTACCAGTGCCCCAAGCTCATGGGGGGCCCTAAAGCATCTGTAACTGAGGTGAAATGGGAGGGGGGCAGCACACATGATGTACCGGGGATCCAAGTTACTCTCAACAGGCCTGACTCTACTGAAATCAGTGGAGTGGACCAGCATAAAACAAGAGTAAACAGTGATGAATGAGATCCTGTATTTCTAGCTGTAGCTTTTTTCCATGATCACAATAAAATCATTAAAATAAAAGTACATCCTTTCCTTGGGGAGTGCAGAAAGGGGGCAATCTACACCTTTCTCATTTTCCTTGAGTTTAAATGGATAGAGGATGGAGAAAGTGCAGAACTCCACTGTTCCACTGCTTTAGTGCATGAGAACAAGCTGGGATTTAAGCTTCAAGTTGAACTAATGAGTGGCACGGTGCTTTAAAGTCAGTCCCGAGCTACTATTTTTAAAAAGTGCCTGGAGACCAAAACAAAATCTATAGAACTAAAAGCTGAAAATGGATCAGTTAATGATAATGAAACAGCAAAATTGATAAATATGCAGTATTTATATCCCTTGCAAAAATACAGTCAAATCCCTCCTTCATCTGCAGTCCTAACTCATGCATGATGTCCCAGTGATTTTGGAACTACTTGTGTGAGAAAGGACAATGAACGTGAGCAAAGAGTTGCCCACTCAGCCTGGCATGGCTTATCTTGCTGCCATTGAATTCAGCGGGGAAATTCACACTGACTTCACCGGGAACAGGATCGTGCCATAACTTTTCCAAAGTGGTACCACAGTGGTGCTAGCTTTATGTTTACGTAATACAATGCTGTACAGGTCATAAATGTTTGGTGCGTTAGTCTAGAAACAAAAGCATTCCATACAATCTAGATATACTTGTATTTTGTGCATGAAGCATTTTTTCCTCCCAGGTTTCCTTCACATGCTTTTTTTTTTTTCTCTCACTGCTCCCCGCTTTTCTTCAAGTTGAATTTATAAAATTTAATTTACAAAAAAACCAATCTTTTAACAAATACTCCATGCCATAACCAAGATCGCGTGAATTACATGGCAAGAAAATTGTACTGGTGTAATACTTCACGGCCTATGGTAAACCAAAGAATGAAAGTCTGGCCCCACTGAAGTTTTATCATTGACTTTAATGGAGCCAGAAATTCACCCCACGTATTTGCCTTAATTAAAGCTTTTGAACACAATCAGCATACATGTTACTGTACCGGCACCCTCATCTCATAGGCATTTATGCACATCCTTAAACTGAAACATGTGCATGGTCCCTCTGAAGCCAATGGGACTTACTCACATGCTTCAAGCTAATCATGTGCATACATAGTTTCAGGATCAGGGCCAAAATCCTTACTCAGTCAAAACTCGCTTGATGCCAATGGAGCATTATTGCTGAATAAGGACATATTAGAAGGCCTTCAACAAACCTTGAGCCAAACAGAAATCAATGGAACTGCTTCCATGAGTAATACTTTCTTACTTGAGTAAGGACAGCCCAGGTAGCTTTTACTCAGCGCCATCCCTGTGGTGCAACTCCTTAAAGTCAGTGGAGCTGTACCCACTTACACCAGGTTAGAATTTGGCTCATCAGCTTCAGTAAGTCTACTCAGCTTTCATGACAAGCCCCATAGTTATTATTCAGTCGTTATGCAAAACCTCCATTGACTTGAACGAGTGAAGGATTCAGGATCTGAGCCGTTGAATTGAACTCCGTTAAGCGATCCATTCCAAACTGTGCTTTTGACTACAGCAGTTCTTTTCTTATTCCTGCCTCAGTTAAATAAAGAATTCAACACACACACACACATATATACACATATATAAATCCCGCCCCACCATATTCTGAATCACAGCTTTTTTACAAATATGTATTAAAGATGGTCAGAGTGAAGTAGTAATGGAGTCCGTGGAGCGCTGGGACAGTTCTCAGGCTGTGGAAGGCTGAGTGAAGCTCTTCTGACTTGAACTCCTGCAACTCAGGACAAATGTGGAGGAGTTGCTTTTTTTGCTGACGCTCAGGTCACATCCTTGCCTCGATTTTAAATAGCGTGTGGAGCAGCAGAGGAACCGGTGTATAAGGTCATGGAAGAGATGGCCCGTGAAAAGCATGTAGATCCACGGGTTGCAACAGCTGTTTAAACTTGCTAGGAGCATGGCGATGATAAATGGGGATGCTGCAAGGTAGAAAGCATAGCAGGAAAACAACGTGAAAGTGCCATTCAGTGTTCTTTAGGCATTGGCAAGAAAACCTGGACATGTCCAGTGAGAAGATATTGTGGCTTTTCATAGAATCATAGAATATTAGGGTTGGAAGAGACCTCAGGAGGTCATCTAGTCCAATCCCCTGCTCAAAGCAGTACCAACACCAACTAAATCATCCCAGCCAAGGCTTTGTCAAACCTGACCTTAAAAACCTCTAAGGATGGAGATTCCACCGCCTCCTTAGGTTAACCCATTCCAGTGCTTCACCACCCTCCTAGTGAAATAGTGGCTTTTGGAGATCCTGATCCCAGAATCCACCTACATCCTGGCCTGACTCCCATGTCCCCAGTTGATCAACACACAAATTTGTGGGCCCAACTCTCGCTGATTTAATGCTACCATGACAAACCAATGGAATTTCCCCCCCAAACCCTTCCATAGTCCAATACAGAACAAATTATGTCCCTTTAAGCAAAAATAGCTCAATTGTTGCAAGTGGTAAAAAAAAATTGTGAAAAAATATGGGGAAAATAAATCAATTTATGTTTAAGACACATTGGTTTTAAGTCTTCCCCAAGATAGAAGCCATTTTTCCCCATCACAGTGATCTTGCTCCTTATTTTGTGTTATGCTGGAAAGCTCAGATATCCCACTACTCAGCAGCCTGATGCCCATTTGCCATTGTCTGATTAAGAAGTGAGTAAGCTCTAAAGAAGTTGTCATATCAAAGAGATAGCCGCTTCCTTGCTTTTCCATCCGTCTACCTAACTTTTTCCCTACTAGCCAATTTAGAAATGACCAGTCATTGTGTGTGTGTTCAGGCTGTAGCGTGAAAAGGCCTACATTGCACTTCTAGATCATCAAGGCCATCCGTAGACAGCATTTGCTCACATTCAAGCCACCTAATTAGAGCGAGACTCTTTTAGAATGGGAAGAATCTGTCATTTTGCTTTGACATTTAATTCAACATTTTCATATTCAAAGCTTTGCCATGGGAAATTATGGTTATTTCAAATTTATGTAACAACGTCTAATTGCATAACCACGATTCTTCAATGAACAGTTAAATCAGGGCGGGGGGAGGAGGGGAAGTGGATGCAGGTGGCATTGTACCAGACCTATATGCATCTGATTGATTGTCAGTATTGCAAGCACACAGAATACATGGCTTTCCACCCCGCAGGTGAGGTTTGTACATTGAAAACACAAGATGCGTGAAGTCTGCCAGTTCAAGAGTGCAGTTTTGGGGCGGGGCAGGGCAGGGCAGGTGCGGGGAGAGAACTCTTTGACAGTTATTTTTAAATGGGGTTCACGCATAGGCATGTTGCTATAAGTTACTTATAATGGCTTGCATAATTCGTTGGTCTTCCATCCTAATAATATGCCCATACCAAGAAAGCTGCTGAAACCGAATCAGTGCCAATGGAGACAGTCAGTGGGTTCGGCTATGAATAGTCTCATTGCTGATCTTGCCCTGCCACTTAATATGGAGCAGCTGACAATGATGATGAGAGTAAAAATGTCAATACACCACTCTTCAGTCTTCCTCAGCATGAATTACAAAGCATGTTTACCAAGATTTGCTGCTACATGGTCAGGGATCAATAAAATCACCAGTCATGGACAGGGGCGCCAGAACAGGGTGGGTCAGCAGGCCATGGCCCCACCACTTTTTACCTGCCTTAAAGGTGAGCGACTGGGGGGGAGGGATCATAGAACAAGTGGGGGCTGGGGCCTTGGGGAAGAGGCTGGATGAGGATGTGGCCTTGGGGGGAGGAGAGCAGTGGGGGTGGGGCCATGGTTCGGGCGCGGTGGCCCCTCCACTTCTAGGGAGCTTCTGGTGTTCCTGGTCACTGAATATTCAGCCAGACAGTCTTCAGGACGTAGCTATAGATTGATCTGGGAGACACTGGATCTGCAAGGAGGCTACATCCCTGTGGGATTTACCTTGAGAAAGATGAGACCCTACTGTGGCTGAAAGTCATTTAACCCTCATGGGGCTTCATCCAACGCCCAGTGAAGTCAATGGAAGTCCTTAGATAAGGACAACAAAGCCCAAGTAGATGATGCGCATGTGCATGAGGGATGAAATCTACCGCCCAGCCCAGGGCCTGAATATGGGACTGCACGGTAATTCAGTCTCCTTGCTCATTCACCCCCTGGCTTCTGTCCTAGATTGACAAGGTCGGGGGCAGGCTCCACTTTTTGTAAAGGAAACACCAAACAGAAACAGAGATTAAAAAAAAAAAACAACTAGCTAAAGAGTCACTCTCTGGCAGGTGTTTTTCACTCTGCTTAATAACATTCCACTACCACTGTCTTCACTTATGAACGGGATTGAACCTAAGTCCAATCAGTTCAACCTTTGATCAGACCTACTGAGCACCCATAGCAACTGCATGCCAAAATCATCAAGCAACAGCTAACTGGCATCTAGCCACACACCTCCCCGCCATCGGGTTGCATCCCAGCTTTAATGTATTCCCTCGGCATGGTACATGGCTCTTTTTGGCTAGATAAAAATGCAACTGAGGGAGGCCTGATCCTGTGAGGAACTGAGCACCATCCACTCCCAATAGTAGAGCTGGTCAAAAGTTTTGGGGAGACGTGTTCTCAAAAAGCTGTTGAAAACCGAGGAGGTTTGGTTTCATTCCAAAGTTTTCACAACTTTTTTTCCATTTCTCCATGGAAAATATTTTAAATGAAAAATTTCATATTGAATTTTTGGTTCCTTTACCCCCTTTTCTCACTTTTTTATTCCCCCCTCCTCCCTTCTTTGGGGAAAAAAGTAAGACAAAGGGAGGAGTGGAGGGGAAACTTTTTTTTTCCCTGTTGGTTACGGGAAGTGGGGGGTGAAATGGGAAATTTTCTCACCATTCTGAACGAAAGAAAATTTGGCGGGGAAAATGTTTAAAATATTTTGTTTCAAATTTTAATCCAAAAATGAAAAGGTTTGTCAGCCATGACATTTTGGCAAGAAATTTCATCATCATAGCAACCCTGTTTTTTAACAAAGAAAAATGTATTGTAAAAAAAAATGTTGACCAGCTCTGCATAGTAGGTATTGAGAGTGCACGGCATCCTGTGAATATCTTATAAATGAATGAATATACTAAGTGGTAAAAAGGTCCTCTGGCAAATGAATATCCGGAGACCTGAGCTACAAATGCACTTTAGGAAAGGATAGCAGGGCCTTGGTCACAAAACAACAAGGCTGCTTCAGCACATGGAAATCAGTAGCACCGCCTCTGGAAAAACCTTTGGCCAAAAGGCAGTGCCATTTATAGCCACACATGCAAAACTCAAAGGGAAATGAGCTCTCTCCGAGAAAGGCACATGTTGATCAGCAGTAGAGTTCCATTACCTTGGCTAGGCTCTGAGGAAGCTTTGTCAATGAACATGGATTAAAAAAAAACCCCACACATTTCACAACTATCAACATGAGCTGCCACGTAACTTCACCGGATATCTGTTTATAACTGAGATCCTTCTTCTATTTCTTTCTGCCTCGGTAAAAATCAGCCGAAGTTTTTCAGCTTAAAAGAAAAACGTTCACAGTGCACCTTTAACCAAGTCATATAAAAGTCTTGCCGTTGTGATATGTAGAATACCCTCCACTCCAGAAGTGGGTGCATTCTAGTAGGCCTTAATTCAGCAAAGCACTTAAGCAATGTGCCATAGGCAGGGAAGTGCTTTGGGATCTTTGATGTGAAAGGCAGTACCTACAGGTAAATTATGATTGAATATCATTAATTATTGACTAGTATGGAGTATTAAAGGTAGCCCAGTATGGATGGGCTTTAGTATCTCAATATTAATGTGCCCACTGCACTGGAGACGTGCTCGTAATTCATTCTCATTTCACTCCAGATTAGGAGTGAAAATAATATGTTGATTAGTTTAAAATGAGTGAGTGACGCTGCTGAGGGGAATGTCCCAATATCCTGACAAATATGATGACATTAGGTGAGTTGCAGCTTCATATCCATTTACCGATCTTTACAAACATTTACAACTGTTTTCTTTGCTATAAAGATTAGTATGTCAGATATACTGCATCTTAGCTGTAAGGTTTTTCTGTAGGGAAAGAAAGTGATGATGTGTGATTTGAATGACACCCTAAACGGATCCACATGCTGTCTGTTCTGATCTGCCGTGGTATAACGCCCACATACATTTACCCAGACCAATTCCACCATCAACAAAAGGGAACATCTGCTGCCAGAACAGAAAATGTTCATGTCATGAAAATGGCTGCAAAATTCCAAAGCATTATGAATTGTTTGTACTGGGCAATGTAGGAAAAAGTTCTCCACAATGGACTGACAGCAGCTATATGAGCTGGGCCTGTGCTCATACTTCAAACTGAAATAGACAAAGGAGAATTGGGAGGTTTTAATCACCCAGTCAATAAAGCACAGCATTGGGACTCAGGAGATTTGGGTCATATGCCCAGCTCTGCTACTGGACTGCTGAGTGACCCTGGGCAAGTCACTTCACCGCTCCATGCCTCGGTTTCCCCATCTATAAAATGAGGATTATGATATTTGCCTCCTTTGTAAACCACTTTGAGATCTACTGATGAAAAGTGCTGTATAAGAAGTAGGTATTCATTACGATTATTAACTGTAGGGTACAGTCTAGTCAGAGAATGGATGAGACCTCTATGGATCTATTCCATCTCTTATTTCTATTAACTTAGTAGCTCTCCCAAGCTAAGTGGGACTGGGCCTAGCCAGTACTTAGATGACAGATCTGCATGTATGGCAAGAAATGGTGGTGGGTCTGTAGTTGCCTTGTTCTCTCTTCCTCACAGCTGACCCAGTGCTCCCGCACCTGAGAATGATGTTGAGCAATCAGCAACATGGGTGATGGCACTAAGCTGCTGCTATGGGTCCTGTCTTTCTGATACAACACAAAACCCTGGCCCATCATATAAGAAGGCAAGTGGCATGAAACAGGCATTTCCTTA